TGGGATTCTTGCTGTATGTTAATATTAAAACCCAAACAAAAGCAAGAAGGCATTTTCCTCATAGAAGTTAAGTGCTTTAAGCTAATCTGACGATGCTTTGGCGACCTTCGGTGTGTTTGGAATTACCAGGACTTGTGTCGAGTGAGAAGCCTGGGTTCACTACTTGTGTTTTGAGAAAGTGGAATGTATATCCCAGGGGCTTGTAACAAATTGGGCCAACTCTTGAACTAAATGGTACAGGCTATAGGGACTCTTGAGAAGCAAAAACTTAACAGTTAAGATCCATGGTGTCACATCAAAATGAATTTTGGTAGTAGATAATGAAGACTATACTGATACAGGAGTTAAGAGTTTGCTTTCTGTGCTAGGCCGTGAGTTATACAGTTCTGCTTCTCACTGGAGAAATGCTGTTTTCTCTGGTTGGTTCTCTAATTTCAATCTTGAAAATAATGTACTTTTAAAGACCATCAGCATTCCTTAAAAATACCTATTTCAAATGAAAAACCAGTACTCCCGTGTGTGATGTGAAGTGATCCTTAATGTTTTTTACTGGAACTTACTGACATATAGAGCAGGAAAATCCATTTTAAAATGTAGAGCAACATTTTGCGAGTCCAATCAACAAACTGTATTTCAAGTTGAGAATAATATCCCTTTCTGTACTTGGAAGACTTCTATGAATGTTTTACGATGTGGTAGGAGTTAGTAAGTAGAATTGCTAGGACACATGCATCACTACATTGGAAATGCTGAAAAATTTGGATTGTGAAATTGTGGGAAGCTTTCCCTTCAAGTGGGATGGGAGAGGGCAGAAAACTAGAATCGAAGTCCTGTCTCCATCAGTGTTCTGCAAGTTTGATGATAGTATCCGATTCATTCTTTACATTCTTCCTCATTTGCTTTAGGAGCTCTTTTCTATTTATCAGATTGGAAAGAGTACTGTCTGACCTCTCTGATCTGCCACTCATCTATTAGAAAAATTCAGAGAACTAAAGGTTATCTTAGATGGTTGAGCTCATGATACTACTTAGAGTGACATTAAGAGAACTCCTACAATTGCAAGCTCATATAAAGCTCCCCTAAATAAGTGTTCAGTCTGATTCCTTCTACTAATTTTAATTCTATTCACTTATGTGTGCCTAGGATAATGCTTTCATTCATTGCTTCATCTACATTATTATATTCGGAGACCCATTCCGTATGGCATTCTATTACTAAATTTGATTTATTGGACCCATTCATGTTTTCTATCAAGTACTTTTTGATGAGCAAGTTGAGTCATATTGATAAATGCAATTCAGAAACAATGTGTCTTTTTTATTGTGTGGGGTTTTTTGTTAACTAGCCATGAAATTTTATTCTCCCTTAGTGTTACTTTGTTGGCACATAAGCATGTGCAGCTGTTATCCTGAGCATAGTAAGAGACAACTAGAAAGTATGAAACCAGAAGAGAGGTGGAAAGGAGGGTAGCACTGTTCACTTTGGAAATTTTTCATTCAGTCCAACCCTAGACTGGAAAAAAACCCAAAAAAACCCAATATTTGTATGAGTAGTATTGTCAGGCTGAAAAGGCCAAACCTTTCAGTCTTCTTTTGGATAATGAGTTGTAAGGGTTCTTCACAAGTGCACATCTATGAGTAGTTCTTTTACAGGTATTTAATGCTGTATCGCTCTATTCAGCTGTCCTGGAAAGAGCTGCAGATGGCAGTCACAACTTTTACATTTTTGGGGGTTTCTTTTTCATTTTGAGTGAGATAGTAAGTTGAGTTAAGATAGTAAAAGAATGAATTTTCAATTTGATAAGCCTTAAAGCAAGTATATTACCCGCCTAACAGTCATGTTTCTCTGTAGGTCTTAATAGAGGGTTTTTTTTTCCCAGACATCTCTTTGGATAAGTACTAAAGATCTTAAAATCAGGTTTTGAGAGGCCAGTGTTATGAGCAGGTCAGTTAGTAAGACTTTGTAAGCTTCGTTTTTGCAGGCCCTTCTTTACCGAGTTTTAGTGACAAAAAGGAGTGAGCTTACCCTAGGATTTTAAGAGCACATATTTCTAATAGAACTTGGCAGTTCAAGGGCTAAAGAACCATTTCAATCTTTTGTGCCCACCCAGTCTCTATACAAATGTAAATATGTCTGTCTTTAACAATTTGCCAAGAAATGTGGTTTTAATTTGTTAGCAGCCATCCCACTCCCTACAGCTCTTTCAGAGTCAAGTCACAAGTCTGGCGGTGCTTTGACGTTTTTCTCTGTCATGGTGTCATTGTTTATACGATGTCTGCTTCTGCTGTCCTCCTTTTTATGCCTGGAATATTTTTCTTTAATTATTTCACTGCTTAAAAGGAATCTGGGATTACTAGACAGGATGAGAGCAGATTAGCTTTTTTTCTTTCTATAACAAGTCCTGAAGTTCCCATAGGAAATAAATCGTATTCTCAAAACAGGCAGTGTTTTTTTATATTTTTTTTTAATTAACTAAAATTATTAAGTCTAATAAAGAAAATAAAGGAAGTATCACCAATAATGGCTGAGTGTCTTAGTAGTATATGGAATGCCCATTGTTGTTATTTATGACTCTCTTTGCCTTCTATTGTGGACTTATTCCAGCCTTAGGGAGTTTACATCACTCCTAATAGCAAAAGGCTCTCTGGTTCCCACAGAGTCTTTCAGAGACTGACTCATATGCCTTATGTTAATTGTTCAGCTCTCAAAATACAGCACTTACAGGGTGTGGTTCCAAGGGGAAAATCTACTGTACTTAGAGGGCATGTTCAGAAGTGTTTCACATATAAATCATTTTGATTTTTAATTTTTTTAACGCCTTAACCCTTTTCTGTCACTGCTTTATGTGATAAGTTATTTGGAAACAAAATAAAAAGTTGATGATGGCGTAGTGAGGGAATGTGTTAGCCCTTCAACTCTGGGCCATTAACTCCAGTCTGACTCAACTCAAAAGTGTCACAGTATCATCATCTTTGCCTCTCTCCAGGGTCTGCTCTTCACACCCTGGCATGACGGTACGCTCTGGGCAGTGATCATACACTTTTCGTAATGAGATGCAAGTTAGAACTGGGGTTTATTGCTTGTCTGCAGTAGTGAGTATGTGCGGACAGGAACTGTCTCCAATCCTCCTCTGGATTTTGTATAAAGTGCTACTTTCCACCCATTGTTTACCACATCTACAAGCACTGCCTTAGTGGACTGGCAATCCTGTCCCAGTGTGCCACATTGATCTCCTCGGCTGAGTACTGAGGAAGGTTTAATAGAATTAGCCTTACCATAAAGCAGAATAAGGAAAGTTCAGATGCTTCTGCCTGTGCTTCTGTTCTCTGGCTAAGTAAGAGTGCTCTCCAGCTGCTCTGATCCAGAATGATTGTGCAAGATTCTTCAGTCTAAGTTGTGTATTACTGGAATTGAGTCTAGTTTCTACAGACTTTGCAGTTAAGAATCTGCGTCTTCTCTTAAAAGAGAAGCTCTTGACAAAGAGCTCTTGAGTATCTTAATATTCCCTTCTTTAATAGTTTACAAAATAAGAAAATGTATTTAGTCAAATTAGGAGAGTCCATACTGCTAGCAAGAATAGAAGCAGCGATTAATCCCTCAGATTAAACTAGTTAGGCTTGATTTCTGAGTTTGAAATCACACTGAATGTATGACCCATGTGTTTTCTGCCTGCTGTAAACATGCATGTTGCAGCATTAGTGGACGGAACTTCATGCATCTATCAATACAAAAATGTTTGTGTAATTTGCCTTTGAAAGGAAGGCTTAAAACAGCTGTAGTGTTTAAACTGTCAAAATGGTTCTATTTCTTTGCCTGACTACTCTCTTTCTGCTTACAAAACAGGAAGTTGTTTTCACTGGTCTATTCTTCTGGAAGGAGCGATGAGGTTTACCCCTCACTCCTTTAAAATAGAAATAAAAATAAAAATGGGCAGGGCTTAATCCCCCATAAGATTCCTGTGGGGTGTTCCAGGCAGTGGCCATGTACATGCTTTGGCCTTCCACTTCTCCAGTTCCTCTCTACTTTCTTTGGTTCTTTTGTACTGCCTGGCTCCAGCTTCCTAGCTTCACAGTGAGGAGTAACAAAATAGTACAAATGAGCACTCCTTACATTTGAGGAGATACAATCAGAAATTGCATCATGCAGGCTGATGAAGAGAAATGCTGTCAAAGAAAAGGAGATGCACAAAGCCTCTTCTCTTTTTTACTTTGCCCCATTTTTTTCTCTTCTCTCCATAGCCTCAGAGATAATACTTTTTTGAAGTATGTGGTAGTTAGGAGTCAGCAGATGGCCCTTCTCTCATTGAGATGGTTTCATTGTGAAAGGAAACGCTCACAGCTTGAAGAAAAAGAGCATTTTCCTTCCTTCCCTCTCGCCCCAGTCTTGTATTATATAAAACCATGGTGCTGCTGTTAGCTGAGACCAGAAAGAATTCCCTTGTTGTCCTGTAGTTGCCAACCCCTACAAGCTGCAAGCGTTTGAATGTTAGTATTAAAAGTTTTAACCCTTGCCTTCTTAAATGTGCAAATAACACTCTCTGTATTTTTTGTAAGTATGGAAAATCATGGGAATTCTTCTGAGAATAAGTGTATAGACCACTGCGCCAGTCAGTCTCTTCAGAAAAAGAAAACAACTGACAAACATGCTCCTGTCTGCAAGAGAGATTCCTGGCATTTGTCACAGTTTGAGCCACAAAGATGTCAAATATTTGCCAACAGTTTCCCCAGATGGTTTGGAAAGCTGCGTCCTTTACATTACAGTCTAGTTTGTTTTCGGTATATTTTAGCATATGAAATATGTTCATTGGGAGTCTGAAAGGGGAGGGAACTGACTAGACTCCCAAATAATTAAAAGATTAAAAAGTATTCTGTTTCTCTTAGGCTGCTCAGATCAAAATAATAAAGAACAGATGTAAGTCTCAGTATTAGAAATTGAGTTTTATGTTGAATAATCATAGCTTGATGTGTCATGTTTTAAACCTGTGTTTTCTTTTGGAGCAGAAAGAAGAACTTTCCAATGGGATGTCTGAATATTTTACTGAATCTGATGAGAACAAGAAGCTTAAAATTAGTCTGAGTGAACAGAAAAAGCAAGACATCTTGAAAGAAATGTATGTCACTACCCTTTCTAATGTGTAAAATTTATAATCTGTTGAGATTTGGGTAACTAGAATCTAGCCTATGTAATAAAATTTCAAATAATATTAACTCCTTTGCAAAAGATGATTTAATTACTACGTGACTACTTAGTGCAGCGTGGCTTATCCACTCTAGTGTGGATAAGCACATAACATGATCCTTGTTGTTTTGTACAGCATGAAAAAAGCTATTACAACCCACCTAGATACCTCACATAGTGCTAGGCAAAATGAAAACAGGGTCTTTTTTCCTCAAGTGAAGCTCTGAGCCAAAATAAATATGAGATGTTTGAATCTACTCTGCAAATGTAGTTTTTGTTCATTTTGAGAGTCTTTGGTATACCACATTATTAGTCTGGATCTTTGGTCACAATTAAAGAGTGTCCCTGGTGTAGTGGATGCGAGGTGTTAGTTGGTCAGCTGAACATTTTACTGGTCCTCAGGTTGCTGTTCCCATTCTTACTTGCGCAAGCTGCCAGTAGCCCCAAATCAACTGTGAAATCAGGGATTTGCTTTGAAGCCTGGCAACTTGTCTTTTTACCCATGTTGCTCCACCTGTGTTTTTAGAAATGAGATTTTGAGGTAAGCCAGCTCTACCTATGTTGGAAGAGACCTCTTTCTGAAGAGTGGATACGCTGACCCGGGAAGTACTTGGCATCAGCAGAGCAGCAGAAAGTGGTCTCAGCATAGTACTATCTTTAGACTCAAAGTTTTACATAGGCAGCTTCAGTACTATGCATAAAGTTCATCTTACAGCCTATGTGAAATGTAGATCTGTAGGTAACATGCTGCTGAGGAGTGTTTATGTACTGACACTCCATCATGTCCCTTGTGACTCCATTTTCCTGTACAGAATATCAGTTCATATAGAACTTTTTTCCCTTTTAGAGTGTCATCTACTTGCATTACTTAAGTCCTTTCCAGATGAACGGGCTTGGTACTAGATGAGTAGTGGTTAACTTTAAAGTAATGCTTTGAAATGTCCTGGGAAAAATTCCAGAGGAACATTTTAAAATAGAGATTAGAAACTCTCACACAGAGACACACACACTGCCTCTCCCCGCCTGCCCCCCTCTGTTCTTTAGATATACATTATACATGTGACTATATGGGAATGGTTTGAAATCATTTAGGCACTTATGAAATACTATTTTATCAAGCCAGTTTGGGAAGGAATTCAATATACTTATGCAGCGTTGACCTTTAACATCTGTAATGAATCCGGTTTTGCCTCTTGGAATAGAATGTGAACTCCTTCATGGCTTAGTCATTAATAAATAGGGTTCCCCTAGTGCAGTGGAAAATCAAATGGATAACACTTGATATTATCCACGCTAAGCAAACATTAATGCTTGTCAAGATGATATATAGGGTTTTTGTCCATATTCAGAAAGAGGGTTGCCGTAATGGTGTTTCAGAATTTGGAAGAAGGGCAGATTGAGGTTGTGAAGATTCTTTTTTTTTATTTAAAAACAAACTTCCTTTTTTTTGCAGTGTGAAAAGGACAGAAATAAAGAAAAGTAGCATGAGCAAACCTCAATTCAGCAAGGACTCCACAAAAATGTGTTTTGGCTCAGTGGACTTGAAGACAGGGAACAGAAAGAACGACTGTCAAACTTCTCTCAGTCCTCAATCTGAAGTGAAATGTAGGAGTACAGGACAGCTAAAGGACTACATAAACACAACTGAGAGCAACTTGGAGCTTCCTGTTTTAGAGCTGGAAAATTATGTTAATCGGAGACAGCCAGATGCTGTTAGCAGCCAGCAAAAACCTCACTCTGTGGAGTGCTTGAAGTCAAGTCTTCTAAGCGAGAACCCTCCTTGTAGCTCTGAGTCAGCACTGCTAGGTCCAAAACAAAGTCAAAAAGTGACCAAAACACAGGCTCAACAAAAGAGCTGTGGTTCAGAAGAAAAGTTACAGCATTTCAAAAAAGTATTCTCTGAAGAGGGCCCTTTAATGCCGAGCAATACAGAAATGAGTGAGTGTGGTGATGATTGTTTAGGTCCATTCCTGCAGGAGAAGACCCCACTTAATTCCGGCTTGTTTTCTAAACAAGACTCCGCAAAGACTGTGTCTGATGAAGAGTCACTAACTTTGGGAAGAAACCTCTCCCGGCCTCTTTCTGTGAGAAACAATATAGTACAGACAAACAAAAATGAGCCAAGCACCACCACTGAAGAATTGCCTGTGATGCCATCATCTTGTTTAGAACTGCAGCCTGTGTATTCAGAGAAGCTTTCCCAAAAAAGAAAAAGAGAAGTTGAAAATGGTCTCAGGAAGTTAAAACTGCGAAGGCTTAAGAAATCATAATCTGAAATATTACCTCAATGGCATGGGTGGACAGCCAAATTTGTGTTTCGAAAGCATATGGAAAAAGTAGAAAGTAATTCAAAATAATGAAAATAAACATACAAACTCAAAATTTGATAGAACTTTTAAAGAAAATTTCATGAACTAAGTATCTGAGTTGTTTGGAACAGTAATGAAGGTAATTCTGTTAAGTCTTTAGGAATTAGGCATGTAGCTATTGTATGAACTAGTGTAGTGTTTATAGGAAGGAAAATCTCTTATAGTATTTACTAAGCAAAATTTTATATCTGTGTACGTTTTAATACTATTAAAAACTCAGTTGATGACAGCAAAAGTTAAAACCACTTTTGTGATCTGTTAGCAGCTGCAGTTATTCAGTGTTTTACTTGTTTCTGAACACATAGTTTATTTTAGTAAAAATTAATCCTTTCTCTCTCTCTCTGTGTTAGGAAGTTCATAGTTTATTCATATGATCTTTACAACAGGAAGGCAAATTGAGTTTATTTCAAATTAATCTTTAGCCAGGTTTTAATGTTGCTCATAATTTAAGGCTCACCTTTTCAGTGGAGTTTCAAAATAACTATAGTTTGTGCCTGTGCAGTTTTGATATGAACGTGCATTATTAACCCAAGTTGTGGATACAAGTGATCATGCACTTAGTCTTTGGAAGAATGAAGACTGCTTTTATAAACACAGTCACCTGGATGTGCAAACATTACTTCTAGGAAAAGTTCATACAGAAACATGCATACACATGTGAACGCATTCATGTTTCAAAATCAGGCCTTGACTGTGTGCAAGGACTGTTTTTTAGGTGTTAGCAATACCCAGTTATTTCATATTTTAAAATAGAGGTAATTTTTAACTGCACAAGCCTTTTTAATACGGCTTTTGTAACTTGTATGCTAATGCACTACGGAAATGTATCTTTTTCTTTCATGCCTATCTTTTTAAAATGTTTAAAATAAAATCCTAAGCAATTTTTTTTGTCATTCTCTCAAAATCAGTGTGACTGCAGACATTTTATGTGAAGCAGTTTATAAAATCTTACTGACATACGCTTAGGATGATGGTTATCATTTAGGTTAAGAAGATTGACATCCATAAGCATTAGAGTTGGTAGTGTATTACAGGTCCTCATGAGACTTAGCACCTTGGCAGTTGACAGCAAGACACCGTCAGTTGAGCAGTATCTTTCTGCTAGAAACGGTTTCTGCTTTTGCTGTAAATGAAAACGCCTGCTAGAAAACATTTTCTCTTGTTTTCTTTCAGCCTGTTTGTATACTGTTTCTCACAGTGCTTTGCAGTAAGGTTGCTAATGCTCACCAATCTTCAGGCTCTGCAAAAAGGTCCTTCCTAGTAGCAAGCAAAGGAACCTGGGTTTGGAGGAAGAATAGCCTGAGGTATATTTACTGATGTCTTTTGTATGGGCTCTAGATACTGGGCCAGGAAGTGAGTGAAAAGCACCTTTAAGGACTTAGAAGAGATATAAGGACATTTAATTAAGTATGTATCAGGAAAAGAAGAGTACTTAAAATAATTTAATAGTTTATATTAAAGTTTTAGCATATATTTTCTGGATGGCTTCTTTAAGTGCTTACAGTGAATAAACTGATAAGAAGTGGTACAAGCACATATTCTAGACTACAGTTTTAACTTTCTCTTATTTCTGCTTTGCTTTTGCTTGGATCTTTGCGAATTTCCCATGATATTCTTGGTTGTAAAGCTACCTACAGGAGAGGTTTAGATGATAATGCAGTAACAGACACATGTTCAGTTTACAAAAGTAATTCAGTTACTTCATTTCATTTCTGGTTAGGAAAAAGACCTTGTGCTTGCTTTTGGAGACTGGCAGACATGCTGATTTTATCTGTGAAAATTGTGGATGGTCTTGAGCAAGTACGTTCCAAGCTAATACTGCTAACAATTTTTGATTCTGAAGTTTTCCTTCTTGCCTTTCTTCTCTCCAAATCTATTTAACCTTGGTTATTAGAAACCTTACAGTTTGTATCATTACATACCGTTATTATGTATAGTTTAACCTTATAATTACAATTTAGTTTTAATCTGAACTGAATAACATACCTACATGCACACTTACAAATGAATGTCATACATTTATAGAGGACTTGGGGAGGTTAAATAATTGTCTATGTAACAAAGAAGACTTGATTTTCCCTTCAGGATATATTATGTTACTTACAATGCTGTTTGCCATCGCTGCACTGATATATGGGAACATCCTCCTTTTAAAACAGTGACCTTATAGCAATAAGAATTGTAGGGCTAGATTGAGCAAAGGTGTTAGAGCCTAGAGATTCAGAACAAATACAAGTGGACTTTCTGAAAAATGCATAGCTGCATCATTTTTGCTGCAGTTACTGACTTGTTAGGTTCCTGAGCTCTTCTGAAAGAACCTCTGCTTTCTAGCTGCATATTTAGAGCTTAATAGCTTCAAGAAGCTGTTTCATGGGTCCTCTCAGAAATGTGGTTATTCAGGAAAAGAGCTTTGAACTCATGGTCATTTCTGGATTTTAGATGGTGTCGCTGCTCAAAACTGTTCTTTCTTTGGTCTGTGAGCAGGTCTGTTATTAAAGTTTCCCTTTTGCAGACCTTATTTGTGTTTTACCTGTGATATCCAGGCTGCATTGTTTCCACGTGTCTCTGTTGTCTCTGTGCTTGAAGCCCAAGGTTGTCTTCTCAGTCTTTGTGTTTATCTACAGTCCACCTGTGCCCAGCTCACCAAGGAGGGTGTAGTCTGATGTGCTTTTGAACCACAAACCTGATTTCCTAAATCAGGTTTAGGAAAAAAAACCTGGCAGCTGGAAACTGAGCTGAGTAAAAGTAGCAGTTTTTAAGTCTTGGCCTTGGCTTTCTATTACCAATTTGCTTCAGAGCTGCATTAGCATACCTTTCTGTTAAAAGTAATGAATATTTAAGACTGTTCTGTGCTAACACTGCCACTGAACACATAAACTTTCTTTGGTTCATTTTTTTTTTATTTGGGTTTGTTTGTTATGTTGGGTGGTTTTTTTCATTTTCAGAGCTGCTTTGAACTCACCTGAAATATGTGTAGATCTGAGACTGGCTAAAGCCCATATTGCAAAGCTTACACTGAAAAAGACGTATTTGTCTTTAAGAGAAAGAATTGTCTGTTCCAAACCAGCCAGCTTTGGGGTTTGTTTTGTTTTGTTTTTTTAACAAATCATCTGGTTAATTTGGTCTGTGCTGCTTGCTGATAGTGAAACAGTCCTTTCCTAGCCAAACACTTTCGAGTGTGTGCAGATGATCATTTCCATTATTCTTTACATCAAAGTAGTTAATAATATTTTTTTAGTGAGCTTTTGTGCTTAAACACACGTCAGAAGCTGGACCAGCCTTTTATATATTTATTTATAAAGAGGAAGCAGGTTGATGTAAAATCTCCCTTGCCCAGTGTATGTCGATAGGAAGGTTTTAACTATTGCAAGAGTTATTTTGAGTAACGAGCTTTGTGCTAGTTGTGATATTATCTGTCAGATTGTAGTTCTGCATACCAGGGTCTGGAGCGTATGTTAGTGTGTTATTACAATTGCATAGCCATGGTTCTGTGTTACGCTTGGCTTGAGTTACTTCAAGAGCACCTATTTCTAACAAAAAAGGGAAAATTTAAAGCACCAAAACTTTCCTTTCTACAGGTTTTGACTAAGTGAGGTGTTTAAGTAACCTTCTGAAGGAGTTTATTTTGTCAGTGTGAACTTCCTTTCCTCTTGCTGCTCTGCATGTGGGTCACATTGGCTGAGTTTTAATTGGCATTTTAATATCATCATCTCTTTGGCTTTTGACTGGAAAAATGGACCCTTTTTCAAGGAAAAAGTTGGAGGAAATAATTTTTTGTTTGCAGTTGGAATAAGAAAGATGTAAAATGTAGCTAGACTATCCCAGACTGCACATTATGAATAGTTTTCTCCTTGCCTATATCAGTATCTAATAAGTTTCATACTGTATTAAAACACCGCAGGCTTGAGCAGAGTTAACAGAAGGAAGAGTCTTCTAGCCAACATTGGGAAGTGTGGGTTGGCCTCAGAAATTAGCTTTAATAATAGGCACTCCTCACTGCTTTGCTTTTTGCTTTTTTCTTCTCTAATAAGCGTTAACTAGCATCCAAAAACCCATGTGAACAAGATGTGGGATGAGGGAATAGCAGCACACTGAGCCTTTCATCAAAGGGATATCAAAGCACACTGCAGCCCAACCTAGAAGGGATATGAATATGCTTCTTTGGACAGTTGGGGCAGCACTGAGGGTAAGCAATTTCTTCAAGGTAAAGCAAGCTGGTTAAGGAACTTGTACTGCAGATTCTTTCATCAACTCATTGAAGTATTTTTGAACACAGTTCTTCCATCTTTTTCACCTTTTTTCCCCCAGTCATTAAAATGAAACCTGGCAGTGCGTGACCTTGTCCTTACCACAGTGGCAATAAGGTGACTTTTTAGATGGGCACTATTTGTTTTGTTTGGTGTCAGCTTATGCTGAGAAATCCTCAAAGAGCTGTGAAAATGATGTAGTGTCACAGGGCATTTCAGCTGTCACCTGGAAACTGTGTAGGGAATTACCCTCCACTGTCCTGCCTCCTTTACCATCCATTTTAATTATTTCAGAGCTGGGAATTGGTTCCCACAAGAGCTGACAATGCACCTTTTTTGAATGAGAATTTCAGTGCTTTTGCTCCCATTCTGTCAAAGTTAGGTCCTTCAGTATAGCTGAGACATGGTACCTCAGTGTTAGGAACTGGTAATCTAGCTCCATGACTGCTTTATTTGCTGACAGAATAATTGCTTTTTGATTTATGCATCAGATCTTTGAAGAAAAGTGTCTTGAGCTAGAATTCTAGAGATGGGCATGCCCCTTTTTAATATTAATATGATCTCATAGTGCCAGAATGAAAAGGACAGATTTATTTCTCCACCCTGTAGAGAAACTGGTTGAAAAAATTTGCACATCACAGAGAAGGCGTTTAC